TTTGTATATATGCAATGTCTAACAGAAACTGACACTCACCTAATTTGCAGGCTTTTATATTGAAGAACATAGGAATGGTCATACTGGGTCAAACCAAAAGTCCATCTAGCCCAGTATCCTGTCTGCTGACAGTGGCCAATACCAGATGCCCCAGAGGGAGTGATCACAACAGGTAATCCTCATGTGATCCCTCCCCTGTCACCCACCTCCAGACAAACAGAGGCTAGGATTACCATTCATACCCATCCTGGCTAATAGCCATTGATGGACCTAACCTCCATGAATCTATCGAGCTCTTTTTTGAACCCTGTTAAAGTTCTAGCCTTCACTGCATCCTTCTGGCAAGGAGTTCCACAAATTGACTGTGCGCTGAGTTAAGAAAAACTTCCTTTTTTTTAAACCTGCTGCCTATTAATTTCATTTGGTGTCTCTCTAGTTCTTTTATTGTGGGAATAAGTAAATAATGTTTCCTTATTCACTTTTTTCATACCAGTCATGATTTTATAGACCTCTGCCATATCCCCCCTTAGTCTCCTTTTTTCTAAGCTGAAAAGTCCAAGTCTTTTTAATCTCTCTTCATATTGGACCCGTTTCAAAACCCTAATCATTTTTGTTGTCCTTTTCTGAACCTTTTCCGATGCTAATATATCTTTTTTTGAGATTAGATGACCACATCTGTAGACAGTATTCAAGATGTTGGCGTATCATGGTTTTATATAGAGGCAATAAGATATTTTCTGTCTTATTCTCTATCCCTTTTCTAATGACTCCTAACATTCTATTTGCTTTTTTGACTGCCGCTGTACACCGAGTGGATGTTTTCAGAGAACTATCGACAATGACTCTAAGATCTTGCTCCTGAGTAGTTGTAGCCAAATTAGTCTCCATCATATTGTATATATAGTTGGGATTATGTTTCCAATGTGCATTACTTTACATTTATCAACATTAAATTTCATTTGCCATTTAGTTGCCCAATCACTTAGTTTGGTGAGATCTTTTTGAAGCTCTTCACAGTCTGCTTTGGTGTTAACTATCTTGAGCAGTTTGATATCATCTGCAAATTTTGCCACCTCACTGTTTACCCCTTTCTCTAGATCATTTATAAATAAATTGAATAGGATGGATCCCAGGACAGACTACTGGGGGACCCCACTAGTTACCTCTTTCTACTTGGAATACTTACCATTTGTTCCTATCCTTTGTTTCCTGTCTTTAACCAGTTATCAATCCATGAAAGGACCTTCCTTTTTATCTCATAACAACTTACTTTATTTAAAAGCCTTTGGTGAGGGAACTTGTCAAAGGCTTTCTGGAAATCTAAGTATACTATATCCACTGGATCCCCCTTGTCCACCTGTTTGTTGACCCTGTCAAAGCACTCTAGCAAATTAGTAAGGCATGATTTTCCTTTACAGAAACCATGTTGACTTTCCCCCAACAAATTATATTCATCCATGTGTCTGACAATTTTATTCCTCACTGTAGTTTCAATTAATTTGCCCGGTACTGACATTAGACTTACTGGTCTGTAATTGCCAGGATCACCTCTAGAGCCCTGTAGCCTGATCTAAGAGTATGTTTAAATACTAATTAATCACCTTTAGGGGTTGACAGGTTCTTTGTCCCAGGATCAGGCCCCGTATTCAATTATACTATGATTGGGAACCCTCATATGCACGGTTGCAACACTCACAATATAGAAACTCTTGTTTATTTACAATACTTACAATTTATTAATACGGTTAGCACAGTCACAAACACCTCAGTTTCATAAGACAAGGACTGTACATTCATATTTCCATCCCATATACAGCCGCTCCCCGAGTTGTGAACGGTTGAGTTACGACCATTCGACTTACGACCAAAGCTCCCATGGAGCAGTCGTAAAGGCGGTCCCCGAGTTACAAATGCGACCCGTGCTTACGAACAGCGCAGTCGTGTGTAACTCAGTGGGGTCCGAGTTATGAACAGCTCGAGTTATGGCCAAGTGTTTGGTCCGTAACTCGTTCGTGACTCGGAGAGAGGCTGTACTTACATCATTCCTTCTAGAACAACCTTAGGTGCTAGCCCATCACCTTTCTCATTATCTTTACCTTCCCCATCACCAGGGGCCATCATTCTGGCCCTTCCAATGACTACATCTTCTCTTCCCTATCGCCCCTGGGCTGGGGTCCCACTTTTATACCAAGTGACACTGATGATAACATGTTTTATGCATGTTTAATAGGGGATGTGTCTAATGCTAAAGTGTTCTTTTCCTGTTGGTCAATGTATCATTGCTCTTAACTTATTATCAAATACGTCAATTCGTTGCCATGGGCCTTTGTGGTTATCTATCGCAACCTGTGTCCTGATTACTCAACTCATCCTGAACCAGTTATTTGGGACTTATATTTAATAATACATCTGCTGAGCCTGAGGGTATTTTTCCTGCCGTCCTGTGTGGATGAGATGTCCAGACCTAAGTTCCCCTTTTTTTCAGGCCTGGGAAACCATAAATAAGTTATGACCAGTATCTAGGTGAGACTGTGTCTCAAACCATGGAAATCTGCAAACCTCAGCTTCTGCTGATCTTGCAAACGACCTGTTGCAGCATGGACAAAGATAAAATATAACCCCACATTACTTGACCTAGAGTGTGAGCTTATGTATAGGGTTGCCAGGTGTCCAGACCTGAACTGGACTTTAGCCCTCTGCTTGGGAAACAAACTGAGAAAATAGAAGTGTCCGGTATTTTCTAAGCAAGATGTAATGTAGATTGTGATGAAGTGTCAAGTGTGTCCGGTATCCTGAAGCCATCCAGCAACCCCACATACATATGTTCTTTTATTCAGGTGCAGCCCTGCTCTCTAGTTGTAATGCAGACATGGCACTCATTGGAAAGTACATTCAATAGCTGAACTGGTTTGTTATACCTAGAGCAGGAGCCACTGTACTGCAGGGGAACCTGACTCACCAGGCAGCCTCGGGCTGGGCTTTACTGCACCCATGCGGCTCCTACACCTAATGGCATCTGGACTGCCACACAGCCCAGTCAGTGCACAGCACCAGTATGCTTGTGGCTGGCTGTGTGGGGGAAGGCAAGCAGCATATGCACACAGACAAGTACAATCAGCAGGACCATTAATTTGGGGCTCTTGCTAGACTCTTATATACCAACATGTCTTGGCTCCAGCTAGGAAAGGACATGGCTCTGTACCCAGGTGGGTTAATGGCAAAGCCCTCCCAAGGAGTTGAGTGCTGCTATATTAGCGGGCCTTCACAAACTTGGGCAGACATAAGGCCTAGTGTATTACACCTGGACCCAGACACAAAGGACTTACGGGAATGCTGAGAACAGCTTTTAGAAAATTTCTTGCATTACAGCTTTTAACTATTACCAAATTAATCTAAATTAACACAAACATATTATTAGCATGATATGAAAGTAACTTGATAGGCTACAGCTCTGTTAAAATATTGGTGTCATGTTAGCTATCTTCCAATCATTAATATTGGAAGCTGATTTAAAGGATAGGTTACAAACCATAGTTAATAGTTCCTCTGTTTCCCATTTGAGTTCTTTCAGAACTCTTGGGTGAATGCCATCTGGTCCTGGTGACTTGTTACTGTTAAGTTTATCAGTTTGGTCCAAAACATCCTCTAATGACACCTCAATCTGGAACAATTTCTTAGATTTGTTACCTAAAAAGAATGGTTCAGGTTTGAGAATCTCCCCAATATTCTCAGCCAGGAAGACTGAAGCAAAGAATTCATTTAGCTTCTCCGTTATGACTTTATTATCTTTGACTGCTCCTTTAGCATTTCAGTCATCCAAGGGCCCCACTGGTTGTATAGCCGGCTTCCTGTTTCTGATGTACTCTAAAAACATTTTACTATTACTTTTTGAGTTTTTGGCTAGCTGTTCTTCCAACTCATTTTTGGCTTTTCCTATTATATTTTTACACTTAATTTGACAAAGTTTATGGTCCTTTCTATTTTCCTCACTAGAATTTGACTTTCACTTTTTAAAAGATATCTTCTTATCTGTCACTGCTTCTTTTACCTGGTTATTAAGCCACAATAGCACTTCTTTGGTTCTCTTGCTGTGTTTTTTTTTAAATTTGGGGTATACAGGCAGTCCCCGGGTTACGTACAAGAGAGGGACTGTAGATTTGTTCTTAAGCTGAATTTGTATGTAAGTCGGAACTGGTACATATTGTAGGGGAAACTCTAGCCAAACATTTCTCCAGAGCTCAGTTTTATTCTCCCACACCTCACTTCCCTCAGGCTTTATTCTCAAGCTGAGGTGTCTGCTGAGAAAAACCGCTCCGCATCTCCCTGTTCTTCTGGGGGTGGGGGAGCGCATAGCTTCGCGTCTCCCTGGTCTGCTGGGGGGAAGCAGCTAGTGCGGGGTTGCCTCACCCCGTTTGTAAGTAGGGATCCGATATAAGTCGGATCCATGTAACCCGGGACTGCCTGTATACTTAAGTTGGGCCTCTATTATGGTGTCTTTGAAAAGTTTCCATGCAGCTTGCAGAGATTTTACTTTTTTCACCATACCTTTTAATTTTTGTTTAACTAACTTTCTCATTTTTGTGGAGTTCCCCTTTCTGAAATCAAATGCCACAGTGTTGGGCTGTTGAGGTGTTTTTCCCACCACAGGGATGTTAAATTTTATTATATTATGGTCACTATTTCCAAGCGGTCCAATTGAACCAGACCCTGTGCTCCACTTAGGACTAAATCAAGAATAGCCTCTCCCCTTGTAGATTCCAGAACCAGCTGCTCCAAAAGGCAGTCATTTAAGATATCAAGAAATTTTATCTCTGCATCCCCACCTGAGGTAATGTGTACCCAGTCTATATGGGGATAGTTGAAATCCTCCACTATTATAGAGTTTTTAAATTTGATAGCCTCTCTAATCTCCCTTAGCATTTCATAGTCACTGATCAGGTGGTCGATAATATATCCCTACTGCTATATACTTAATGCAAAGCATTTATATCTCTCAACAGGACACCATTGTGGCCCTGCAAGCCTTGAGTATATTTGGAGCTCTCATTACTTCCAGAAAAACAGGAATTGATCTAACAGTGATTGGACCTAGTCTGGAAGCTCCAGCAATGTTTTCAATTGATCCTCAAAACCGTTTTCTTCTTCAGACCAAAGAGGTACTTTTAAAAATGAGGAAGAGTTCTAATCAATCCTGTCACTTGAAGATATTTTGAGTGTGTTTAATTCACCATGTAATTCTTTCAGATTACACCTATGCAACCGACAGCCATTACAGTTTCAGCAAAGGGCGTTGGGTTTGCCATCTTTCAGGTATGCAGGAAGATATTTTATACATACTTTTTTTTAAACATGTTTTTTGAAGAATGAATATTAATGGGAAGTTTCATAAAACTAGATAAATAAGAAAAAAATAATGTTGTATTTATACAATGAGAGACAAGGAAGATGAGGTCAGTAATAGCTTGTCTCTCTCATGAACAGAAATAGGTCTAATAAAAGATATTACTTTACCCAGCTTGTTTTGCTCATATCCTGGGACCAATATGACTGCACAAAACAACATTGCACATAATTTATCTTTATGTAGTATCTTAAATTAATTCCAAGGCACTCTACTAATTGTCAAAATGATGTAGGTCAAATTCTGTGCAGACTCCCCTGCACAATCACTGAAGCTAGTGTGATTGTGTAACTCCCACAGGCAGGATGGAATCTGGGGCGTCTGGGGATTAGTGCATGAACTAAAAGTCAGCTGGCTCTCAGCTAAGGCTATAGAGGAGGCTCATTCTTTCATTTTGTAAGTGGTGTAAGTGCCACCACATGGGACAGTGAACCACACCCGGTAGGTGTATGGGTTACAGTTGCATATGCTGTAAACCAGTGCATAACATGGATACATTCTTAGTAATTCATAAATTACCTTTCTCCCTTCTGAACTGTCACAATTGTTTAAATATTGCATAGCAATTCTGCACAACTGTTGAAGGCAAAGAGGGAAGAAGGCCTAGTAGGTTTCAGCCATTTTGTGATACTCTGAGAACACAAAGAGGCCAGATTCTGCCTGCAGTCTGTCAGTCGATAGTGCTTTGCACCAGTCACCCAAACCTCAGAATAAGGGAACCGTTGGGTAAGAGGGAGGCAAGGAATGAAGTGAAAGAAGTGCAGTGGAACTTCATGTTGCCAAACCTCTGCTGGGGTCCAGAGGACCTTATGGTATTAATTCACGCAGCCCTAACTTAATTTTTGTCTGATTTGTCTTAAACCAGGAAGGGCTGGCACCGATTGGTTCTCAGAGGGACCTGTAACTGTCTCCTTTATGCTTCTCAGTTTCTTTGCTGGGAGAGCTTAGCTGCCAAAGGGTCTTGTCCATTATGTTGAATGACATTTCAGAGGCAATTTGTGTAGGGGAAAATAGGAATATAGGAATTGCCATTCTGAATCAGGCCCTCTGGCCATCTTGTTCAGTATCCTGACTAGCAGTAGTCACTGCAAGATGCGTTAGAAGCAGGTGGGTGCAAGAAACCCAGACAATATGGAAAAGCTAGAGCTTATCTGGCATGGGGATTAAGCCTATTTAAAAATATAGATAACGTCAAAGTTGTCAGTTATAGCCTGCTTACTACAGTTCTTGAAAAAGCTCCTGCTATTGCTATGCTTACTCAGGGAAAATTGGTCTTACTCTATACTGAAAATCTGATCTTGTCCATAAGTTTTTAATGTCACCTTGAATATCCTGACACCTTTGGGAGGCCAGGAAAGAGAACTGAGGAATGACATTCACAAACAAAATTTGCATGACTTGACATTAGCAACTAACAGCAATTAAAGTATACATGTTGTTCATTCAGCATCAAGCTGCAAGGCCTGCAGATTCCTAGATTCCAGTTTTTTATGCATTTACATAAACACTAGTTCTGTTTACAACAAAGTTCCAGTTGTTAAGAGATAATTTTAGATTCCACACAGTGGGCCAAGATGAAAATGAATATATCAGTGGGGCGACTTTTGCTCATTCATCATATCATAGGGAGCAGGGAGGTGAACTTAGCAGAGATGGTTTCCAAAAACAATGATACTACTTACCCTGAACCATTAATGAGAAATACTGCATGGTTATTAAAAATATCAACATGTCAGTATGCGGCAAAGTGCATTTCAAATGCAGCAGTTAATCCAAACACAGTATAATGTACATTTTTAATAGAGTACCACAATAACTGAGGTTCAAAAACCAAACACAAACACAAAGGTTTATACTACTGTATCTAGCTCATCTGCTTCATCTAAAGCACCCTTCAGTTGTATTTCTTCTTTTAGCTTAGAGGCAGAGATTCCTTAATTTTTTCCTCATTCCTTCCCCCTGCATCTTGGCTGAGCAAAGACAAAGCATTGGAGTAAGGCACTCATCCATTAAAACTATTCTTAGCTAGGACCACTTATTTTCTCCTGCTTTTTTTGCTGAGGCTGCTTTTCCAGAAGGAAGTCTGATATTATTCAAATCAGATTTCTGACAGCAGGATCTGTATCTTGTGTGCTAAATAAGATAGCATGTGAGAGTGTCAGAGTGCAGTTGTCAGATCCTCTATTCCATGGATCTGACTTTGACATGCTACATCTGGAGGTACACACTGATTTATTTAAATACCAGAAAGCACCAGGCCATCTACTGTTGGGATCCCAAGGACTGAGCATTATTGGAAGAAGCTTAGCTCTCTGCGAGATAGAGTCTTAGAAAAACCTGTGCAATTCTTGATGACTCTGCTAGCTATTTTGTAACCCTCTCTGACATCAGCCTCAGTGGGCTGTAAATGAGTTTCAGCTGCCTCCATTCCAAAGCTTCTAGGCTGCCATGAAAATTATTTATATTGGATGGTATAACTGCAGAGGCTGACATTTTTCTTCTGGTCTTTTGGTTTTGCAGCTGATAAACTTGCACAGTCTGCTGTTGTCCTGGCTTGGAGAGGAGCAGGATTAGTCCATCCCTACATTTTGAAAAGGATGGTAGCTCTGGCCTGGTTTGGACAGAAAGTCTGCCTCTCCTAAAGTAATTTCTCTTTCCTCTCCTTAAGCATTTTGGACAAAGGGCCAGCTCCCCAGCTGATGTAAATCCGCCTATGTCCATTGAAATCGAGCCAGAGTGATTTATACCAGCTGAGGATCTGGCCTGGGATGTGCATTGTCCCAGCACATGTTCACCAAGGATAATAAATGATGAAAAGAGAGAAAAATTAATTGGAAAGAGAAACTGATTCAAATATTTCCTTCAATATATACCGTCAGACAAATACATTTTTGTTATGGTGATAGTTTAAGAATAAGAAAAGGAGAGGAAGTTGTCCTTGACTGCATGGAGACCTTCAGAATACTTCACATTTTTTGTGTGTGATACCATTGAAGTTATTTTCTTAATGGATACAAAATATTAAATCTCCGTGCCTCTCTCTAGTATTGCCCTTGCTATAAGAAGAGAGGACAAGTTCTGCCCTTAGTGACAGTAACTGATCTTTTACTACTTAATTGGGCTGCACCTACTAAACTTTATATATTTAAAAACTGTTTCCATTCCTCTGTGAACCTCCTTCACTCATGAGAAGGGAGGAGGGGAAAGTCAGACCTTAGCAGCAGTAACTCATGCCAGTAAAATGTTTGCTAATTGACCTGTTCAGTATGTTGCTTCAGATGTTCATGAGCTGGTGGTAAATTCTCATGCATTTGCTTTTCCTGGCAAAAGCTAAAACAACATTGTTCCTGTGATGACAAATTGCTGTGTGGTTTCCAGCTTTACTTTACCGATCTTATGACATGTTTCCTATAAACTGACCCCTCTATCCTCTGTGCTATTCCTGAACTTGTTCAGTTGCCTCAGGATATGTTGTTCAAGAGAAGCTTTCATTTCCGAACCAGTGCTGTTTTGCCATGTTTATGGTGTCTTTATTGAATCATCTCTATACTTGACTGCTAAATTCAAAGGTGCTATGCACAGTGACAGGATTAAACATCTTTTAGTAGGAGTACATGGTGTTACTTACACCACTGGGGGCGGAGATGGTCATCTAAATTCAAAGGTGCCACACAGCAGAGGGGGACCATTTATTTTGTGAGTAAAAATTTCTATTTGCTCCCCTTTCAAAGTCCCAAAAACATGAATATTTTTCCTTTTTAACTCTCTTAGTGTCACCAGTCCAGAGTTTTCTTTCATTGCATTTCAGAGTCAAGAGGAACTGTCTACAGCAGTCCACATTATAAAACAGTGGAAGCTAGTTAGAAAATCTCCAAGTTTCACAAAACTCACATGTTTTCCTCAGTTAGGTTCTGCAAAGTCTTAGTGGATAGCACTATGCCATAAGATTGAAGTTCTCAAACATTAACAAACCGAGGTCCCCCATTTTGATTTAAAAATTTTCCAGGACCCTCCTGCTCCATACCTTAGCTTTTGCCCTCTGCTTACTCTATCTCCCCTCCCTCTGTTGCTTGCTGTCCCCCACCCTCATTCCCATTCACTGTGCTGAGGTAGAGGGTTGGGGTGCAGGAGGGAGTGATGGCTCCAGCTGAGGGTACAGACTCTGAAGGGAGGCCAGGGATGAGGGTCCAGAATGGAGCAGAGATTTTGTGTGTGTGTGTGATGCAGGGTGCAAGCTTCAGTAGGGAGCTTGAGTGTGGGAGGGGACCCTGAGCTAGGACATGGGAGCTGGGGTGCAAGAGAAAGTTTGGGGTACTGGTGGAGTTGACTGAAATGTCCAGAATCAGCCACCAGGTCTCTGTGGCCCCTAGATGGGTGGCCAGTGTGCCTCCACACAGTGCCCTCGTACTCAGGTACCATCCCTGCAGCTCTCCTTGGCTGTGAGGTTCTAAGCCAATGGAAGCTGCAGTGTTGGTACGTGGGTGTAGGGCAGTGTGTGGAGCCACTCTGGTCACTCATGTGCCTAGGAGCTGCAGGAACCTGGTGGCTGCTTCCTGAAGCCATATGAAACCTGACTATGAAGCCTGCCTTAGCCCCAGGTGGCACTGGGAGAGAGATGGAATAGGGAGGAGTTTATCAGTGGGACTTGTGGACCCCAGTTTGAGGAATGCTGTCATAAGACATTCAGAATGTTGCACTTGTAGTTTCCAGACCCTGACTTTTCCTATATTCCTGGCTACTGATGGCCAACATTGGACCACAAATAAAGAACTTCGAGAATCCATATTTTTTAGACTATATCTACACTTATCTGTTCTCTAGAGTTCTACCATTATAGACTTTGAGATCTAGCTGACTACCTTATTGAACTCATTTTTGGTGTACAAATGTCATCTGCGTTTTGTGTTTGTGCTTCCGTAGCTCAACATTATTTACAATGTGAAACATTCAGCCACTGATAGAAGGCGCAGATCTGTCCAAAGTCAAGAAGCTTTTGACTTAGATGTTGTCGTAAAAGATGACAAAAATGACATAAACCATTTGACCTTAAATGTATGTACAAGGTAAGTAACTCATTTGGTGTTTCTGCTGGTTCTCTCATTTCTGCAGTAATGATATTATTTGAGTTGTGAAGTATGTGTTTTTAATGCCAGTGATTTAGATATAACAAGTAGTCCGGTGGCACCTTAGAGACTAACAAAAATATATATAGTATCATGTGCTTTCATGGGCAAAATCCACTTCATCAGATGAGCTGAAGAGGGATAACAGAAACCCAGAATTTATAAAAGAAAAAAAATTGTCAGTTGTAGGACTGGTGCTAATGTGGCTAATTAAGTGGGCTGGAAGTGTTGCATACTTAGCTTTTGATGTAAAAATGAGGTGTGCAATGCAGGGAAGGCTGGCTTTATAGTGTGACATCCAGTTAATGTCTTTGTTCAAGCCCAGGGAAACAGTGTCAAATTTGCAGATGAATGTCAGCTCTGCATTCCCTCTCTGTAACTGACTGATGAACTTGTTTTGTAGAAGAATGGCTACTTTTAAATCCATTAATGAGTGTCCAGGCACGTTAAAATGTTCCCTACAGGTTTATGTTCATTACCATTTCTGATATCTAACTTGTGTCTATTTATCCTTTGTCGTAGAGACTGTCCAGTTTGGCCAATATACATGGCAGAGGGGCATTGCTGGCACTTGATGGCATATATCACATTAGAGGATGTGCAGTTGTATGCGCACTTGATGTTGTAGCTTATGTGGTTAGGTCCTGTGTTGGTGTTTCTTGTATACATATGTGGACAGAGTTGGCAATGAGGCCTGTTGCAGGGGTAGGTTTCTGGGTGAGTGCATTGAGGTGTAATATGTGACTGCTGGAAAGTATTTGCTTGAGGTGAGGGGGTTGTCTGTAGGTGAGGATTGTCCTGTCTCCCAAGATTGTGAGAATGAGGGATTGTTATTCAGGACAGGTTGTATATTGTCAGTGATGCGCTGGTGGGCTTTAAGATGGGGGCTGTAGGTGATGAATCTGTTGTTTTCCTTGTTGGGCCTTTTCTTGAAGAAGTAGATTCCTGGGTATTCATCTGGCACTGTTAATCTGTTTCTTCACTTCCCCAGGTAGGTATTTAAACTTTAAGAAAGCCCAATAAAGATTTAGATTTAGAAGTCTGTCTATCACAGAACAAATGAATGACTTCATAGAAGGAACCGATTATTAAATTCAGACGCAAATATTTAAACCAGAGAAGAGAGCTAGCTTATTAGAGCTGAACAGATTATTAATTAGCATAGTTATAAAAACAAAGCTGTCATTTGTCATCTCATTATTTTGCATACATCAAGTATGAGGTTTACATAAAAATTAGAGATCTATGGAAATGTTTATGTGCACAATAATATCATTTGACATCACAAAGGTTTCTGGTTACTTTCAATGCTCAGCAATAGATCTGGAAGTTTTGTCACAGAGCAATTTGTGAATAAGTAGAGCTAGTGCAGAACATTTTTGACGGAATGAAATATTATTCCAGTATACTGTTTTGTTGAAACTGAACTTCGCCTGTGCCCATACGCCACTAAACAGCCATCAAATATAGTCAGATTTTATATTTGGGTTAGCAGTGAACAGGTGACATATAACCTCCATAATTCATTAGTTACTTCAGAACTATTTAGTCAGACAACAGAATTGTCTGTTTTCTGATTAGATTCATCCTGTTTTGGTTAAAGAGCACCGGATACTTCACAGAAAACCTCAAAGACATTTTATATCCTATATTTACATTTTTTCCTTCTTTTTAATGCTTTACTACCAAGGACACTGGAAGGAAAACAGTCTTTAAGAGCTTATCTTTTCCTGTCGAATATTTCCTTCCTTGAAATTACAGCCCCTCCCCCTGCTTGTGACAATATAATCATTTCCATGCAAACATGACCTTTGCAAATCATCATGTTGTTTGCAGCACTTATTTGTTAT